CCTTCCCATTTTTCGAAAAAACAGGACGCTAAACATGTTTTTTTTTTAATTTGGCCTTATATAAAAATAAAAAAACGATCCAACTATACCGGTAGTTATTCTTTAAGCCACTGGAACTGCGTAGAGTTCCGTAGTGTGGCGTACCGACTACGCAGAAATTAGGCTGCGTATTAATGGGAAAATAGTCCCTGCGTAGGTTATGCGTAGGCTGGCGTACAGGTTTGCTTATGGTTGCTTACTGTGTGGAAAGCTTTTACTGCTTTGTCAATCTGGCGTAGGGTAGCGTACTGTTGCGTAGTCATGTAGCGTAGTGTTGCGTAAAAAGGCGTACTTTCTGCGTCAAGTTTCTACGCCGAAAGTACGCGAAAAAAATTAAACATGTTGAATTGTTTTCGTTCATCTTGCGTACCCCTTTCCGTCCCCCAGCATATAGTAACGTAGGCCAGCGTAGTTGGTACGCAACACTACGCAACTCTACGTATTGACCCCACGCCAAATAAAGTATTAAAAATATGCTCATCTGACCCTAATTAAACGCCTAAACCCCCGAGCTTTCGGGGGTTTATGGCCCCTTGAAACCCGTGGACCCCACGCCTACACTCAACTCGCTTCGATCTACCTGATCCCCCTCGCCCCCCCCCCCCCACAACCCGTGGACCCCACGCCTACACTCAACTCGCTTCGATCTACCTGACCCCCCCCCCCCCCCCACACTTTGAAAAATGTTTTGTGGGGTCGGCATGTAACATGTAAGATGCAGATTTTTTTTGTAACATGTAAGATGCAAAAAAAAATATTTTGCCCCCCCCCCCCAACGATCTTATGGCACTTCGGCCTGCCCGCTGTTGTGTTCACGTGTAGGCCTACTTCAATGAATGGATAGACATAAATAGTCGCATGGATGGATACATAATATAGCGTATAGTTGTCGAATATTGGCATGTTTGGCCCTTCATAGTCTCTTCGACTCTGAATAGCTAGCTCACTCACTCACTCAGCTCAGTCGAGCAGCCAGCGCAGCTGCACTGCACTACACACTGTATGCGTACGGCAGAGCTCTTGAAACTGAACAATGTTTTTCTCTGATTTTCTTGTGAAAACTTTCCTTTAATAAATGATAATCAAAACTGAGTAAACATGGCCAGAATAATCACAAAATAAGCTTTGATTTCATACCTCCACTCACGAAAACTATATAAAAATCCCGGCAATAATGATGGAAATAGGTCTCTAAGTTTGGACGTGGATATGGGAAGACATCTGTTGCGCTGATTTTATTTATAGGCCTAGATATCATGAAATAAGCTAATAAATATCAAATAAAGACTCAACTCATTTAAATTTTAAATATCAGGTCTACATTTTAATTAAAATTAAAAAAATGGTAAAGATTACAACATCTAAAATATACAAAACAAACACGGGGAAGAAAAAAAAACTTGCGACGGAGGCGGGATCGAACCCGTGCGTGCAAAAAGTGCAAGAGCTGCCGGCGAATCGAACGGAACCGGCGCCTCAGACCGCTCGTCCACTTCCGCTTCATGCTAAAGCATGAAGTTCGTGACGGATAAGTGGGACGTGCGGACGCATCGACGACGTCGACGACGACCGGGACGTGGCCCAGTCGGTAGATTGAAACGCCGTCCGTCCGCGGGACCGCCCGGCGGCGCCCGGCGGCGCCCGGGGGCGGGCGGGAGGGGAGATTTGGGCGCTGTAAAATGGACCCCGGATACCCCCCTCGACGCCTTAGCGTATTATTATATGGAATATCAACCATGCAGACAGAAGCATGTGACTTCATGCATTGCAAAACAATCAGTTGCGTAATGAGTAAAATTGTTTGGGGGGGGGGTGCAGAAAAAAAATCGGCATCACCATGCACCATTCTTGCATGTTACATGAAGGCTCCAAGAAACATTTTTCAAAGTGGGGGGGGGGGGGGGTCAGTTAGATCACAGCGGGTTGAGTGTATATAGGCGTGGGGTCCACAAGTTTTAAAAGGCCATAAACCCCCGAAAGCTCGGGGGTTTTAGGCGTTTAATTAGGGTCAGATGAGCATATTTTTAATACTTTATTTGTGACACTTGCGGGTTACTAATTGGCGTGGGGTCAATACGTAGAGTTGCGTAGTGTTGGGTACCAACTACGCTGGCCTACATTACTATATGCTGAGGGACGGAAAGGGGTACGCAAGATGAACGAAAACAATTCAACATGTTTAATTTTTTTCGCGTACTTTCGGCGTAGAAACTTGACGCAGAAAGTACGCCTTTTTACGCAACACTACGCTACATGCCTACGCAACAGTACGCTACCCTACGCCAGATCGACAAAGCAGTAAAAGCTTTCCACACAGTAAGCAACCATAAGCAAACCTGTACGCCAGCCTACGCATAACCTACGCAGGGACTATTTTCCCATTAATACGCAGCCTAATTTCTGCGTAGTCGGTACGCCACACTACGAAACTCTACGCAGTTCCAGTGGCTTAAAGAATAACTACCGGTACAGTTGGATCGTTTTTTTTATTTTTTTATATAAGGCCAAATTAAAAAAAAAAACATGTTTAGCATCCTGTTTTTTCGAAAAATGGGAAGGAGGAGACCCTTTTTTTTTTTTTTTTCTTTCTTTCAAAATGGCCGCTCCGTACATTTTCCCTGACATTCGGGCTTTTTTTCAAAATGGCGGCCGACATTTAAAAAAAAAAAAATTTTTAAAACAGAAATAAATTTTAGCAGTGCTTTTCCTGTTTGTTTTCTTTCAAAAAATTAAAACAAATTTTAAAAAAAAAAAAAAAAAAAAATAGGAGGCGGCCCCCAAAAAGGAAGCTGGCGGGGACGCTGTTTTTTTACCTTTCGAAAAAAGAAAAAAAAGTTAAACAAATTTTTTTTTTTTAAATTGGAGGCGGCCCCCAAAAAGGAAGCTGGCGGGGACGTTAAACATGTATATTTTTTTAATGGCCTGAATGGCAAATAAAGTTCTTGGTGGTTTTAATTTAGACAGTCTCTATGTATCTATTTACACCCCCCCCCCCCCCCCTCTAGAATCCCGCGGATTTCCGCGGGTCCTGCTAGTACTTGTATAGTAGTACATGACTACATGACTACAAAGATGCCTGACTGACAGTGCCTCAATAAAGCTATACAACTTATTAGTTCAATCAAATTCTCTTTAACTGGTCTTTTATAAGAACATAATAGAACAAATTAACATGAAGAGAGAACTTTCTGTGGAAACCTACCGTGCTTGGTAAACTTATAGTTTCCCAACTTTTAAAGTAAGAGAAAGTTTTCCCGCCAATTTATGAGGTTTACATGGGAAATGAACAAGAGATCAAACGACATGTGTCTTCGAGAACATCAAAACTTTTGCCATAAGCAACCCAAACTTATATGAACTAATCATTATATTACTTAGAACCAAATAAAACACAAAGTAACTTGAAGAACAACTTACCAGTATTATTGAGCAGTAAATGGAAAGGAGCATTTTTCCCGACTTGAATTGAGGTGTTTGTCGTATACTGCCTAGCTGCCCACTGACCATGCTATGTATATGGTCAGTTATATACAAGACCGGTCTGGATCAAGAATGGTCTGGTGCTAGTTAGTGAAATAAACTAACTGAAAGGGTTTAAGATGGGGGACTATGCAGGGGAACCATTCTTAAAGATATTTGAGACATAGGGGAGAACAAATAATAAATACATTTTTTTTTTTTTTTTTTTTTTGGTAAACATTAAAAACTTGCTATTTATAGTCAATTTCGACCTTGACCTTGACCTAATTTCAAAACCCTGAGTTCTGGCGATCCCGAATGTATTACCAAATGAATTGGCATCCCCAATTTAGTTAGAAATGATACCTTAATCGTTTTTCTGGACTATTTGGTCAAAAGTTAAGTGTTTTTGAATAGGCAGGACTGGCAGCCATTTTTTATTTGACCTCTCAGGGTCATCAGAGGTCAAATCTGATTTCGCTCTACATCTGAAAATGAATCTCATGGTCTGCAGGGGAACCACTCTTAAAGAAATTTGAGAACATAGGAGCGAACAAATGACAAATAAATGGGATTTGTTTCATTGTAAACATTGAAAACTTGCTATTTTTAGTCAATTTTGACTTTAACCTTGACCTAAATGCAAAACCCCGAAATCTGGCGATCTCAAAAGTATTACCAAATGCATTGGCATCCTCAATTTAGTTGGAAACGACACCTTAAATGTTTTTTCTGGACTATTTGGTTCAAAAGTTAAGCGTGTTTGTACATTAGACCATGCGGACTGGCGGCCATTTTGAATTTGACCTCTCAGGGTCATCAGAGGTCAAATCTAACTTCCCTCCACATCTGAAAATGAATCTTATGGTCTAAACTAACTATGCTAGAAGTTTCATGCTTTTATCAAAAAGTGCACAATTCTCGTTATATGGGGAGCTAATCCGCTGTACTATAAACATAAACCTAACCTTCAAACCCTAATCCTTACGCTAACCCTAAACATAAACCTAACCTTCAAACCCTAATCCTAATTCTAACCCTAAACATTAACCTAACCTTCAAACCCTAATCCTAAACCTAACCCTAAACATAAGCCTAACCTTTAAACCCTGATCCTAACTCTAACCTTAAACATAAACCAAACCAACAAACCTTAATCCTAACCTATACCTACAGCCAGGAGCAAATGTTGGAATGCCATTACAGGAGTAGATGTTGTACAATTCTAAGGATACCTACTTGGCTCTTTGGGCACAGTATAGCTCTGGTCTCCTTACAACCCGACATTCACTTGGGGTCTTACTTAGTAAGAAATAAAGGGCTATGGCATTTGTCGCACTTGGGTTTCAAGGTAGGTTTATGTTCAGGGTTAGGATTAGGAATAGACTTGGGTTTGGTATTGAAGCGACGAATTCAACGAGTCCAATAAATCGATCGTGGGGAAATGATCACCGGAGCAACCTATGATGGAGCACATGTGGTACAATCCAAGGGATACCTACTCAGCATCGTCTTCCTTGGGGCAGAGAAGGGCTCTGGACTCCTTACAAGCATTGCGAAGAGCAGGGTCTATTCTGTAGTCTGATCCAGCAAAAGCTTCCACAAGGGTAGACAGCTGCAAAACAATGTCCAATTCATTGTTACACATTTGGGGTCAAAGGTCATATAGGCAGTCAAAAATTGACTACAAATATCAATTGTACTACTAGTTGTTCCTGTCACTGCTGCCATTTCATGCTATGTAACAAAGACCCACAAAAAAAAGTGTTATCATACTAAACAAGTTTTATTGTGTAGGGTACGGCCACAGATTCAGGAGATGCTCATTACCGATTTGAGTAGTATTATACGAGTAGAACATGGAAGCACCCATAGAGTTTAAACATCCCAAGTAAAACAAGAAGGGGGGTCTAGCTTGTACATAGGCTGCATTTAGACAAAAACCATACATTTTGTGTAATGACTTATATTTGGAAAGAAGACCTCTCTCGACTTAGGTCTTTACAAACAGGTGCTCGCTCTGCGGCAGGTTGAGAATGAATCACTCACCCCCTTCTTGCATTCAGCTGATATACCTCCCTTCTTAGCCAGCGCCATGAGGCAGTGGATGGTCTTTCCCTCTCGTCTCAACCCCTTGCACTGGACATCAATCTCACTGGAGCAGGCCTTGACGAGCCCAGGGGTGATCATATAGTCGGACATGATCTCCTTGCGGGTGTCTGTCAGCTCAGCCTGGCATTCTCCGCTGATTTTGTTTCCTAGAGGGAGGAATCGAGGTGGTCAAAGGAATGTCCTCGGTGAAGTCAGGGTTTCAAGAGGCCCAATGGTTCAATGGAAACTTTGCATTACCTTTACAAATAACTGTATACAAATAATAACTGTTACCTTTACAAATAACTATACATTTGAAAATGGTTAATTTGTGCTGAAATTTGAATTTAACCAACCTGCTCTGCCAGCAATTTCCAAGCATATCAAAATTTCAGCCAATTTGACCTCCTTGGTTTTGGCTGTTGTTTCCTGACATCCAGTGGTCTGTATCTCCTTCTTGCACCGATGCTGCAGCCTGAAGTTCACCTTGTAATCCAGGGCAACAACCTTCTGCCGGGTAGTAAGCTTCTCTTTACACTGTTGAATAAAAAATCAAATCAAATCAAATCAAATCAATGCAATCTAAAGATTCAAGGGAGGCAAGAAAAGTGGTCTTTATAGGCAGGTGGTGACTGATGCAGGAGGCCATTTGGGTACAATGTATTAAGCAGTCATTTATTTGCAGGTGGGGGATCATTTTAATGAATTTCATGAATCATTCATTGATTGCAAATTTAACAACACGCACAAATATTTCCAGCGATTAATGAGGCATGCAAAATTCACAAAATCAAGTTCTGTTGCATGAAGCACACGGTGTCTGTTCAGTAGCACAATGAGTCATGGGGTGCAATTGGAGACCAAACTGATTATGATGGGGCACTTCAATAGATTATTTTCATTTATTTCTCCCAAAATAATCTGATGTTATGACGTTTACGATACTCAGTAACGAGTTCACGAATCACAGAAATAAAATGGAAGTAATTGCAAAGCATATAAATGGAAGTGGTAAATGGCTTAACACAAATATAACAACTCACAAATTTTCCCTTGAACCCTGTATCTGCGAAAACAATCTTTACGTGAAAATAGTGGCTTGTACAGCACTTACATCCATGCTCATCTCCGGACTGAACTTGTGTTCCTTGAGGCACTTGTAGATGTTGCCCTGACCGGCGTGTGAGTTGGCGCAGAGCCTCTCCCGATCTTCCTTGCAGGCGAAGAAGAGGGGCCTGTCCTCATGGTAATCGTTTGAAGAGAGCTCCGCCACGCGAAAGATCTGAAGCTTGCAGGCCTTGTCCAGGGATTGGATGTTCTTCTCCAGGCAATGGATGGTGCCACCTTGGGAAAGTGACGGTCGGAGTGATCGGGGCTGTGAGGGTTAAAAGAAAAGATGATTGCAATGGAATTGATTCCTGCCTGAATATATCCATTAAATGTCTTGCCAAATGACATTAGTGGTTCTTGTATAGTGCGCATGTAAAGACATTACAAAGACAAGTGATTTTTATAAGCTGTTGAGGCCTGTAAGATGGAAGATTACAGCTTTAGAGAGATATCTTGCGAGTATTTGAGGAAATATTTACTGTCCAAATAAGATAAGGCAGAAATCCAAAGTAGGTTTATCAAATATCTGGAATGTCATTTCATGAAATCACATATAAACCTGTACATCTAAATTTTCCTTAGCCCTGTACCATCGGTAGAGCTGAAGGGGATCTCAGCCGCATCTACATGTACAGTACGGGGCTATGCTTTTTAGCTCACTTTGATTTCACATTTGACTTTGACTAAAGTGGGCTAGCCCCACCAATTCAGGATTACTTGGCCCTGGAAAAAAAAGCAGGGTTGGCACCCCAATCACGTTGCTATCTCTTGAAATGCGGTGCGAAGAGCTCAAGTGAAAACAAAAGACAAAATTGTCCGAGGCTTAGGAAAAGCGTTGCTAACCCGTGGAGGCGAAAACATCGTATCAAGTCAGAGATAGTCTGAGAACAGGGTGGATTTTGTAAACCCGAGATTGGCAAATAGTATGGGCTAAAATAAACAGAGCGTGAAAAGCATAACAGAGTGTGAAAAGCATAATAGAATATGATTCATAACCTGGTCACTATAGATATATTGATAAAGTCTATATTTGTGTGTTTCTTATAAAAAAGGAAACAAACATTTTTCAAATCAATTTTTACAAAAAATGGTTATGTCCTAATAAAGTTCAATTTATCCGCTTTCAGATGATACCAAATATGTTATGATATTTTCATTCATTAACGAATATCAAAGGTTTTAATGAGTGATGTCTAAAGCAGTCTGCACACAGACTGAAGTTCAGAAGTAGAGAGTAAATAAAATACCAAAAAAAAATGAATACCGGTAATAAAAGAAAGCATTTTAGATTACAGTTGACATGTTTACTGCGACGAGTACTCGGATACGCATGTACTCACACGTTTGACAACTACACGAGTACACGTATACACAGTCGCCATTTTTTTTTTGGGGGGGGGTGTTTTTTTTCCTATTCTAAGTGTTGATTTATGCCCCTCCACCTGGCACTGATACAAATCATTCATATCTCTAATTATCAAGGAGATTTCATGTTCTTGATGTGGAATTTATAAAAAGTCTAAAATACTTGAATTTTCACTTTTGAATATATTTTATTTTAAGGCTACAAATGGCTCTCCATAATTTTCAAGTCCAACTTAGAGTTAAGTTCGACTAAGGATCTTTATGAAACACCCCCCTAGGGTGCTTCCTACGACGTCAGCAACAAAAAAAAATAAAAAAATAAAAAATCTGAGCAGCGCCATCTCTTGGCAACTGTTGGCGTTAACATGATTTATTGTAGCAAGGGGTTACGAGTGCTGTGCAGTATGCTGAGTTAAGACGGAAAAGTATCAAGTATTCTCTTAAAGCCTATCTGCACTAGTTTGGCCAGGAGGTATTAGACCACCCTGCCTGGTCACTGGCAGGTGGTTATCTCATCAAATCAGCTTTCAATTAACGTAAGAAAAAGGGGATGATGGGGGATCAACGGGTGACTTTTAGGCTTTGTTGGCTATATAGAGGGCGCAGTCCCGCTTTAATAGAAGCCAATTTTTCATGGAAATCTGATGATGTTTTATGATGACTTGAAAATCAATATGTGAGTAAAATCACAACAAAACTATATGGTGCAGATGGAACTTCAACTGCGCGCAGTCGAAAGTGATGCCTCCGTCATAGAGTAATTTTACAAACCAAAACAGAAGAAATTTTTCCAATTCAAGTTCGATTGTATTAACATGTTCTCAGAATATCATGATTACAAACTATTTCTCATATACATGTATGACCCTTTGATCTTTGACCTCATGACCCCAAATGCAAGATACATACATTGAGTTTGATGGTAATCCATCCATCGGTTCTAATGATAATGCAATCACAGGCTAGTTTTTCATACATAATGAGCCCAAAGACCTTTAACCTTGACCTCATGACCCCAAAATCTACTCAGTTCATTGCCTCAGCAAGATACATACATGACCTAAGTTTGGCAGGAATCCATCCATCGGTTCTTGAGATAACGCGATCACAAGCTATTTTTGCATACATAATGACCCCTGTGACCTTTGATCTTGTGACCCCAAAATCTACTCAGTTCATTGCCTCAGCAAGATACATACATGACCTAAGTTTGGCAGGAATCCATCCATCGGTTCTTGAGATAATGCGATCACAAGCTATTTTTGCATACATAATGACCCCTGTGACCTTTGACCTTGTGACCCCAAAATCTACTCAGTTCATTGCCTCAGCAAGCTACATATAGTACATGACCTAAGTTTGGCAGGAATCCATCGGTCGGTTCTTGAGATAACGCGATCACGAGAATGGGACGTACGGATGTACGTACGTACGGATGGATGGACAACCCGAAAACATATAATGCCTCCGGTTACTTCGTAATGGAGGCATAAAAATTAGGCTAGGTATGGTTACACAACAATTTTTTTAATACAAAAAATGGCGGCCGAGTACATGAGTATCGGCCTGTAAGCCTGGGCGTGTACTCGAGTACCTCATTATACGCTTATGAACAGCATTACTCTACGAGATATAAATCAATTTGTTAGTGCAGTCCTCTTGGCTCTGGTACTCTATAATTTGATTTACAGGTTCTATAATGCCCTTTCTAGATGAAAAAACATGAGTCAATGTATGCAATCCTCACAAAACAAAAATATCTTGCTAACAGTCTGTACTCAGACTGTTCAATTCAATAGCTCCACAAAGTCATACAATTCTTTCTAAAGATATGACAACCAGTTTTGGCTTGATAAACCTGGTAATTAAACTAACTAATGTTTTAATTACTATGAATACCGGTACGCTTGTATGGTGCATTATGAATAAGCTAACTACAGGTATTGGATAATGTATCACCAGTCTCAATGCCTGGAGTGATATGAATGCTTAATTGCCCATGCTTATACGTTAGCATGGTGTTCATATGTATAATAGGTAAAAGATGTTGTTGAGTTTTGTACTGCATGCGAAGGCATCTTTAGTATAGTCTGTTTTACAGTAATAACAATGTTTAACTTGGACAGCTAAAACAAATATCTCTCTCATATTCTTGAGCCTACTTTGAAGTAATCGTTTAAAAATGTGTGATGCACTATCATTTTTGGGGGAGGGGGGGGGGGGGGAGTCGGGTAGGGATGGAGAGGGGAGATCTTTGGCCAAACAACATGAGGGTGAAATCGCCCACAAAAACAAACAGTGGACCCACTGGCGTATGGAGTAATTGCTTTCATTGGCTTGATTAATGCAGGTGACAATGCCATAGAAATAACGCCTTGAGTACAACAGACATCAGGCCATGTGTCGGATTTGACCGAGTTAGAAGAACATGGATCTAAACATACGCATATACCGTACCTTGTTTAGCGCAGCTATCCCATCTTCGTTGACGACGCCACACTTGAACTTGTCGATGTCATCATTGCAGGTCTGATAGAAGCCTGTGATGAGCCAGTAGTCACTGAAGATGATCTGCTTCATCCAGTTGAGGTACTGGGTGCACTGGTCGATGCTGATGTCCTCTACGTGATCGAGGAGGCACGGGAGAACCAGACCTTTACCTTTGTCAAGGCGGCTGCAATCTTGGAGCTGTATTTCACAACAAAAACAAAATGAAAGTTTTTCTTCTACAATAGTAACATCAGAAATAATAAAAAGAAAATAATAATAACATCAACAATAATGACAACATTACACTTGTAACTAGTAATTATGATAATGAGTATATTTATATAACAGATGACAAAACTAGAAAGAGGTGTCAATGATTTTGGATACAAAAGCCTCCACAAAGGATACAAGAACATAATAATTGTACATATATAATCAACTATTTAGTCTAGAGTAAGGATCAAGAGTGAGAAGAGCAAAACTGATAGAACTTCACATAAACAGAGCATACAGTTGTAGTTAATATTCTTCTAGCTCCATGCACAATTCATGAAGATATAGGCAAAACAAAACTACTCTGTAATGTTTCTAATTCAAATATATTGAACCTGGTATACACTGTACCTTTGCCAAGTCCTCTCTGCATACTTCAGCGGCAGCATTATCAAAGCGATAATCAGTGGTCAAATTCTTCTTGTAATTCCACAGAAACTAGAAGAAAAACAAAAGCATGTAACATTTTTTGTTTTTTTAATCAATTACCGTGGCTTTAAACATAACTTCTGTGAAGCAATATTGCACATTCAGACACAACAGAAATAGAGGTCATTGTAAGAAACTTGAGAGCACACTAGAATCATGTGGGTGCACAGAGTGGACTTCCATGCCGACCCGGATATACAATCAATACCATCTCTCTGAAATCGGTGACCATTTGAAAGTATAATGGCATGCTTTTAGCTTGAGGAGTGATTTCATGTCTATCGAGTATCAACTACAAGCAAGCATGTAGTCTGTTGAGAACTAAAAGGGCGTTAATTCAACTCAGAAGCTCTTTACAGACTCAACACCCTTCTGGCTCTCAACAGATTAGAAGCACATCATTCTACTAGTGATTGCACCCTTTTACGAAATACTTAATTTTGAACATCACATACTTACATGTATCAATCTAACCCTGTCTACGGACTACCAGAATCCCATCATATTGCTATCGTATAGCTATTACATAAGTTATAAATATGCGGCTATTTCCTAGTCTGGACATCGTATAATGAAATATATAGCGAAACACATGTTAGAGCATCATTGCAAATGAAAATTTAATGAAGAATCAGTGTCCCACTCTAGTCGGAACTTAGCCCAGAGATGCCAACCTCTTGACAAAAAAAAAACAGACCGAGTATCCTAAAAAAAACAGATTTTGGAGAGAAAAATCAGATTTTCACGAAAACTTGACACTACCATTGGCCCGTCAGCCCCGGGCTAGTAATATTTCAGAAAATGTTTGCTCTTTCATTAAAATTTAATGAGAAAATAGTAAAGCAAAGTTTTTGTTGGGGTTGCGGGGGTTTACTTGTACATGTTTCTATGCGATTCCATTTTTTTATGGGTTAAAAAAAAGAAAAAAAGAAAAATTGTATTTTAAGATTTTAAGATCGTATTTCACTCTTGTTATCGTACTAAATATGATTTAATCGTACTGGTTGGCATCTCGGTTAGCCCCACCAATAGTACTGGACTATGCTTTGCCCACTTCATTTTCAATTTGTTCATACTTTTTCATAGTGGGTTAGCCTCACCAATAGTACAGGACCATCTGGCCCTGGATAAAAAAAAAAAACATATGCCTCCAGCTACTTCGTAATGGTGGCATAAAAAGGAGTACAAGGGTTAAAGGCGAAGTCCACCCGGGAGTTGGTTTTAATGGAAGCAGAAAAATGAGGGAAAAGGACAGTGAAAGCTTGAGCAGAATCAGATTAAAAATAAGCAAGTTATGAATTTTTGAAGTTGCGATTAATCAAACACAAAGTGGCAACCCTGTGACGTATCTTGTCAGGTTTCCTCCCTTTTGCTCTGTACTAACACAAAAAAATCAATCATGTCTTTAAACAACCCCTGTAAGAAACAATCTACTCCATCACAAATAACTAAGAAGATGAAAGCTTATGAAATTTCTGTAGAGAGCAAATTGGAGAGGACCTTGCAAGATATGTCACAGGGTTGCCAATTTGTGTTTCACCGACGACAACTTTGAAATTTCATAACTTTCCTACTTCTAATCAGATATTGCTCAAACTTTCACAAATTTGTTTCACTTGTATTTCTGCTTTTATCAAAACCAGCTAATGATCTGACTTCCCCTTTAATACTCTTCTGGAACCATACACAGGACAGTCTTTAATAGATCCATTACTGTATTCTTGATTTTAAGAATCAAAAGTATTATTTTGTCAATACCATTACATTTGCATGGTTGCCTTAAAATTGAAATTTTAAGTTGTAAGAAGAATTAAAGCGAGTAGCTTTCATGTTTATACATCAATACAAACATACATGTACATCATGCAGTTATAGGATTGAATATCAATGATTACTAAGTATAATAATTACAAAATACATGTAGAAAAAAAGCTAAAGATACTCACGTGGTTACAATCTGCTGATATATCACTGTCTGCCTGCATAACAAAACAGAAATGAGAGAACAAATATGAAAGTGAGAATACATATGACTTGAAACATACATACATTTTATGTCATCTGTTTAAAGGAAAGCATTTAAGAATTCATGGAGTGATTGGAGTCATTACTGGAACTTCCACTCTAAGGGATCGTGTAACAATGTTAAATCTGAGATACACGGCCCTACGTGTTATCAGTGTCTGTGATATTGTTTAACATTGAAGCCCTAAAAAATGATCAAGAAGTGCCTCAAAAAAGTAAAAATCTTTGAGTGACCGGTTTTATACTCGTTTTCCCCAATATACCGTAGTGTTATGAAAACCGTTTGGCAAACAGTTTTCAAAATTTGTAATTCCAATCATAAATATCTTGATAATCAGATAGGCGATCGGCTTGTAAAAGTCATGGGGTTCCTGACTGACCTAAAGGTTTATATTCATCATTGCAGCATGAGCTAAATCCAGAAGTTTGTTTCAGAATCTGAGACAAAGTTTAGTTACCAGATCCCTTTAATGAGAAGCCAGAGTTCTAGGAAAATTGACAAATAATTTGTGAGCTTTTCCATTCTCTTTACGTTAGCGTGGAAGAATATCACACACACACACAAAATCACTTCATAATAAAAAAATATGACAAGAAATACATGTATCTGAGGTGTATGGAATAATGTGTTTGTTTAGTCCCCAGCACACATAAAGCAGGGCTGTCAACTTTGGGAAACTGCTTGGCGGGAGATTTCTGTTTTGGAGAAAATATTAAGAGGCAAATCCAGCCAGCCGCTTATCTTTAGATATATGGGCATATTGTAACGCCGAAAAAGGTGCGTTTGGAATGAGACATACAGCCAGAATCACGTTTCTGAGAGATGATAAACGCAAAGCTGTTTTGAACCCCACATACAAATCGGACCTTCCCAGGTTAATTTCCGGATCAGAGGCTAGCGCGCCCCATGTGTTGTGTCATGTTGTTGTACAAGCATGTGTGTGTAGTTGACCTCCGAGAAACTGCCTGCTACCCGAGTCAAACGGCGCAAAGCAGCTGCGCAGAGACAAGGCCTTTATTTTGAATCGTGAAGAGACGATAAACGCGACATCCCGCAAATCACATTTATATACCGTAGTGGGGTTCGACATGTACATATCTAGTGGCAAGACACGATAAACGCACCCATAGATTAATGTATGTATGAGAAGAAGAAAATGGGAAGATATATACGAAAGGATGGAAAGCAAAAGCGCAAAACGGAACTAAACAACAACAGAAAAAAGTTGAGAAGGAAGAAAGTTATATGTAGGAGGAAAAAAAAGAGAAAAAGTACAATAGAGCAAAACAGAACAAAGCGAGTTTGCTAATAAATGAAGAAATGTTGGTAAGGTAAGGTAAGGTAAGGGCCAGCCTGGAAAAGAGGGGGGGGGGGAGACAATGACGCACACAAAAAATAATTACATACTCTATCATATGTGATGACACAATTTTTTACATTAAACATTTTCAGCATAATTACTCAATAAATGTTGTTTCAGTTTCCGTTTAAAAACAGAGACACTGATAGAGCGAGTTACATCAATGGGAAGTGAGTTCCAAAACTTGGGACCAGTACATGCTAATGTATTCAAAGCAAAGGCAGTTCTTCCACGCGGTATATGAAATGCAGTTGCCTGTCTTGTATTATACCTGTGAATTTGACTGTTCTTTCTAAAATAACTGTACTAAGGGATAGAGTAATGTCGATCTGGCGCTGCTCAGTGGCTGCCGGGCTCACAATCAATTGGGCAAAAATAATTTCCATTTTCGGTTTAACATAATAAAATTTGGAGTGGACTTTAAAAGATTATTATTATTATTAATACATTTGGAAGAGTACCATTTTCAAAATCATACATGAGTGAGCCTAACTGCAAGACATAGACATGTATCATAGACATGTATCAGTTCATACTCCTTCTACGTTCCAATACAACATGTTTGAATTTGTGTTTGTGGACCAACTCGTTACTGTAGATATGTTTAAATCATTCGATTTAAAAAATGTATGCTTGATAATTGGATTGGAATTGGATTGGTTTGGTTTATTGAGAAATCACATCAAACAAGCAGCTCGCAGGCTGAAAATGTTCAATTTACAAACAAGTTAAAAATATAGAGAGAAATAAACATATACAAAACTAAAATACATATTGTAAGTCATTGTAAGATGAAATAATGCCACATATCACCTAGTGTAACAAGTAGAACTACACGTATACTTATTGTGTTTTCACACAATGCAAAGGGGACTTTGGACCAGGAACTAACAAAAATGGATACATTTAACATCTCATGCATGGAAGTATGCAAATAATAACCATGAAAAGCTATATACATGAACAATTAATAGGGCGGAATGAAGAGATTCACTTGTAATTACGTGACATACTGCACTCATGCTATCCAGTTTGTCTGGAGCTCAAAGTGCACATGACGTTGCACATGAGGTTTAATAGGTCATGCACGTGCAACATGGAGTCAGGGACAAACATAGATATTGGTAATGAACTCTTATGAATGCGTAAAATGTTAAGTATATCAATGTACGCAGGTAAGATACAACATTTTTAAGGCAATTCAGATTCCGCTCTGCTTTGGCAATTTTATTACACATGTGACAAATGTAGGCTTGCGTGTACAGTTGTTATGTATGGATCATTTTTTAACACTGCTCTACGGCTGATTGTCAACGAAACGGATTTAAGTCTTTTGTTAATTCCGTTTGTTGCTACGACAGACAGCCAGTGAAAACGAATTCATTTAATAAAAATAAGGAAATGTAAGCACTACCTTAAACAAACAGAACTTTGTTATATTCCTAGCTCATTTTTCCTGACTGAGGTGTCATATGAAAGGGCAGAAACTCAACTTTCTAGAAATGTGATTTTCTCTTTGAAATTCAGATACCGTCCGCCAAATGACTTTTTGGTTTCCTCTCTTCAAATTCATTTCAATCACTCATGCGTAAAATATGCATCATATGCATGGCATCAAATGAAAGAGGAGGATCTAAGCTTTCCAAACATGTGTCATTTATTAATTATAGATGTGGATAAGTTATGATAAAACATAGATAATTCTCGGTTTCGTTTTTTCTGGGACGCACTGTATAGCAAGCCCAATCTAGGAAGCAGCAACTTTAAAACTTGGACACAGCGATTAGATACAAACCCTGAATTATGTACTGGCATGGTTTTCCCGTCTTTTTGTGACCCCTCGACCCTAGTAGTTGATCTTTAGTATTGAGCAAACAAGGCATTATGTCAGAATATAATTAGCGCAAACTTTTGACCCTTACGCTAGCTGCACATGGTTTGATCTTCGGGGATAGCGCGAGGGTGAATCTCGACTGTGTATCGTATAGCAGGGACTACCTGTGTATAGCCAGGGAGATCAAATAGATCGCTGTTTATGTATTTTCTTTATCCCATAAAAGTCTACTATGCACTATGTGCAAGGTTATTTATGCATCGGAGTATGTTCAAAATAAGTTTTGAGATGGAAGAGCAGTGTTAAAAAAAGGAGGCATTTCAATTTTTTTTCCGATCATCATCCCCCTCCCCCCCCCCCCCATACCCATTCTCTCTCTCTCTCTCTCTCTCTCTCTTTCTCTCTCTCTCTCTCTTTCTCTCTCTCTATCTCTCTCTTTCTCTTTCTCCCCCACATCGTTTTGAGCGTAAGTTTGTTTCAATAAGCCATAACGTCCTAAGCAATAATGAATACTAGTTCACTGCATGTGCAATTTACGGTAGCTGAAGAAATGTAAGTAGTCACAACAACTGATTGTAAAGCGAAAGTTTTAAGTAGAGCGTTTTCTGTGTGTGAGTTGGCTTTTCGGCGTGAATGAATCGCCAACACAGTTCTGTGATCGCCAACCGATAGGATGATATCAAGTTGCTGCCGAAAGAGGGAGCTAAACAGACATATCCGTAATTTTGAATTTGGTTTGTACCAACCCCGACCGTTGAAGAAATCAATGTTTACTTTGCTTTTTTCTCTGCAATTACACAATTTCATTCAAATTCCTTTAGCAAGAGTCATTTATTTGAATTGCTTAACAATTGGTGTGAATTTGAATAGAAACTGTTTGAATGTTTTTTTCACCATTACCAGAACTGGAGCTTATCTTTAAGCCTAAGCCCAGTAAAACCATATTCTGGTAGATAGAGTCTAGACTACTCACCATTTGTAAACAGTCCAGAACGGCAAAATTATTTCCTTTCTCCATGTTCCGAGGGCAAATATGTTGAACGTCCGCGATGCAAGCTGGATGGTCGGCTATCCTTACAGGCTTCAAGGGAACTGCTTTAGATTTGATCGGAATTCTATATGCTTTATCCGGAACTTGAGCTTGTGGCTGCTGCGCTTGAGCAAAAAAAAAAGAAAGGCACATGGAAAATAAGGAAAGAGAGAAAACTAGAAATGGAACTTCCACTGCGTGCAGTCGAAAATGATGCCTCTGTCATAGAGCAATTTTACAAACCAAAACAGAAGAAATTTTTCAAATTCAAGTTCAATTGTAATCCATTAACAGGTTCTCAGAATATCGTGATTATACAAGCAATTTCTCATATACATATATGACCCTTTGATCTTTGACCTCATGACCCTAAAATCTACTCAGTTCATTGGCTCTGCAAGATGTCCTGAGTTAAATAGTAATCCATCGGTCAGTTCTAATGAGAATGCGTTCACAAGCTATTTTTGCATACATAATGAACCCATAACCTTTGACCTTTCACCTCATAACGCAAGAATATACTCAGTTCATTGGCTCTGCAAGATACTACATGATCTAAGATTGGCAGGAATCCATCAATCTGTTCTAATGATAATGCGATCACAAGCTATTTTTGCATACATAATGAGCTGCATGACCTTTGACCTTGACCTCATGACCCCAAAATCTACTCAGTTCATTGGCTCTGCAAGTAACATACATGACCGAAGTTTGGCAGGAATCCATCAATCGGTTCTTGAGATAACACGATCACGAGCTGTTTTTGCATACATGAGCCCTGTGACCTTTGACCTCGTGACCCCAAAATCTAATCAGTTCATCGGCTCTGCAAGATACATACATGACCAAAGTTTGGCAGGAATCCATCAATCGGTTCTTCAGATAATGCGATCAAGAGCCGTTTTTGCATACATAATGAGCCCTGTGACCTTTGAGCTCGTGACCACAAAATCTAATCAGTTCATCGGCTCTGCAATATACATACATGTACATGACCAAAGTTTGGCAGGAATCCATCAATCGGTTCTTCAGATAATGCGATCAAGAGCCGTTTTTGCATACATAATGAGCCCTGTGACCTTTGAGCTCGTGACCACAAAATCTAATCAGTTCATCGGCTCTGCAATATACATACATGACCAAAGTTTGGCAGGAATCCATCAATCGGTTCTTCAGATAACGCGATCACAAGATCGGGACGTACGTACAGACGTACGGACAACCCGAAAACATATGCCTCCGGCCATTCGTAACGGAGGCATAAAAAGTAATATCAGGACTTACCTCTGAACCATCTTCTTCTCGGTTCCAATTAGCAGCTGGATTCCCTGGGTTCAAGACAGGAACTTCATTGATAGGGCCCCCAACTGGATTCCCTAGGTTCACGTCAGGATTTTCATTGATAGGGCTCCCAGCTGGATTCCCTGGGTTCACGACAGGATTTTCATTGATAGGGACCTCAACTGGATTCCCTGGGTTCCCGACAGGAATTTCATTGACAGGGACCTCAGCTTGATTCCCTGGGTTCCCGACAGGAATTTCATTGACAGGGACCTCAGCTTGATTCCCTAGGTTCACGACAGGAACTTCATTGACAGGGACCTCAGCTGGATTCCCTCGGTTCCCGACAGGAACTTCATTGATAGGGACCTCAGCTTGATTCCCTGGGTTCCCGACAGGAGTTTCATTGATAGGGACCTCAGCTTGATTCCCTGGGTTCCCGACAGGAATTTCATTGACAGGGACCTCAGCTTGATTCCCTGGGTTCCCGACAGGAATTTCATTGACAGGGACCTCAGCTTGATTCCCTGGGTTCTCGACAGGAGTTTCATTGATAGGGACCTCAGCTTGATTCCCTGGGTTCCCGACAGGAGTTTCATTGACAGGGACCTCAGCTTGATTCCCTGGGTTCCCGACAGGAATTTCATTGACAGGGACCTCAGCTTGATTCCCTAGTTTCACGACAGGAACTTCATTGACAGGGACCTCAGCTTGATTCCCTGGGTTCCCGACAAGAGGATTTCCATTGATAGGGACCTCAGCTGGATTCTCTGGGTTCCCGACAAGAGGATTTCCATTGATAGGGAACTCAGCTGGATTCTCTGGGTTCCGGACAAGAGGATTTCCATTGATAGGGACCTCAGCTGGATTCTTAGGTTGGGCATCTTCACCGGATGGACGCTGCAATTCAGCATCTGGGGTTTCTTCCACACCTTTTCCCTGCTCGCCTGGGTTGCTTGCGGTCTTGGATTGATCTGATGCATTATCCTCTGCTGAAGAAATGAAGCAGAATACTAAATTACACACAAAATTGAAAACTGTGCTAGAAAGATCAAAAAGAATGGACAGATTGCCTCCATGGGAATCTCATTTTCCTATGAAAAATTTAGAAAAGGCTCAGGTGAGCAAAACTGTTTTAGCTTGTCAAACTTGGAGTTCTGATGTCTCCATGTTGTAGTAGTCATTTCGAACTGGGAGATCCCTGCCTGTTTTGAAACCAAGTCAGCATGCTAGCGCCCTTTGTTCCTAGATTAGTACGTACATGTACTTACTGAGTCCCATGGATAGGATTCAAAGTCATAGGTCAGCTGGTCAACATAGGTCAATTATCTATTTGTTTTGTCATGAACCAGGAATATAAATGTGTGTACGCACTCCAATTTCAACATAGAAATTTGGTAGCAACCCACAACCTGCAAGAGCCACTCTCAAAAAACCTTGCGATAATTTATCTTCTTGGCTTGAAGTATCCACCAAATTGTTAAAACTAACACAGAGACTACTCCATCAGTGAAATGAATAAGGTAAATCTCCTTTAAAGGCATTGTTTAACGATTTAAATCTGAGATTCATGGCCCTACGTATTATCAATGTCTGTAAGATGGTGTAATATTGAAGGCCTAAAAAAATTGCGCTTCAAAATGATCACAAAGTGCCTCAAAAAAGTAAACATCTTTGAGTGACCAGTTTCACCATACAGGTACCGTTAGGAACACGCAAAATTTGATTTTGATTTTCAATCATAAATATCTTGATAATCAGACAGGCGAGCGGCTTGTAAAAGTCATGGAGTTCCTGACTGACCTAAAGGTTTATAATTATCATTGCAGCATGAGCTAAATCAAGGATTTTGTTTTAGAATCTGAGACAAAGTTACCCAATCCCTTAATACAAAATGTCCCTTAATACATAACATGAAAAATACAGTAAAAGAGTGATGTGGTGTAAAAAAAATGGAGGACTTAAATAGATCTTTTATGTTTTAGAAGTGACTGCTACGGTAATTGATTTTTTAGACAAGGTCAGTTGCGAAGTCAGTTGAAGGCCCCAATTCGTGCTTGTGAACTTGTCACAAATAATAGTAACAATGTTGTTTTTAAAACTAAAGACGACAGACAAATTTTCCTCTGAGTCCAAACAGAAATCCGGACATTGGCAGCTAGTTTCTGAGTGGTAAGTTGACAGTGACACCCGGTGTATGATTGAGCTGGAAGAAATTTGTACTCACGGTACCATGCCTCTGCTTTTCTTGGCACGGATGAGCGTCGCCCGGCACAGTGACAGGTGGAGGGGCATAAATCATCACTTATAAATACAAAACTGGCGGCCGTGTATACGTGTACGAGAAATCGTACTCGTGTTCTTGACAAACGTCTGAGTACAAAGATCATCCGAGTACTCATCGCAGCCTTAGAATCAACGCACATGTGCTCTTCACCTCCTGCCAACTGGAAATGGGCACTTAAGTGACCTTTCAGAATACCAATTTGCTTTAATACTGAGCCCTAAGTAAGCTTTAAGTAAGCTTTAATTCAAAACCCGATTTGCAGAATATCCCTGGAGGCAGGGACGTCTCTAAAGGGGGGGGGGGTGGGCCCCACCTGTCAGGATATTGTTGGTAAAATTGCGCTGCCGTCCGGAAAAAAGAGAAAAGGGAGAGGGAAAGCGAAAGAAAAGAAAAAAAGAAACAGAAAGAAAAGAAAAAAAGGAAAAGAAAGGAAAAGAAAGGAAAAGAAAGGAAAGAAAGGAAAGAGGAGAGAAGAAAGAAAGAGAAAAAAGAAAAAAGGGAGGAGAGGAAAGAAAGGAAAAGTAAGAAAAAAAAAGAAAAGGAGAAATGAAAGAAGAGAAGAAAAGGAGAAAATGAAAAAACAGAAGAAAAGAGAGAAAAAGAAAAGAGAGAAAAAGGAAAGAGAGGAGAGAGAGGGAGAGGTACTGTAGGAGCCTGCGACAGGAGGGGTGAGAGTAAAAGAGAGAGGGGGTTGTTGGATGGAGTCGTCTTGTCGAGGGAGCAAAAAAGACATGGATAAATATGTTGCTGTGTCAGTATTCTTGCTCGGTCCTTGTGTACTATATCAATGCAGAAGTTTGAAGTCGGTAAGATGTACATGTACATGTACATGTATAATGTCGGTCGACTGACAAGTTTTTTTTCCTACGAACTGTGACTTTTTATCTGCTTCGACGACTTCGAGAGAGACTGCAACTATAATACTTGTATTTTCTCGAAGTTTCACTTTCATATTTAATATCAGCTAAAGAAATCAGAGGTTTTAAATTTTCTGGAAAACTAAATTCAAATAAGGATAAAGAGTCACGAACGAATAGTCTTTTTTCTCTAATATTTTAATGAAAATTGAATTCAGATAAGGAATAAGAGTTGTCTGCTTTCTCTCATAATTTAATGAAACGTCAAGGCTTCCGCGCTTCGCACGGGAGGAGGAAAACTGAATTCAGACAATTAGGGTTAAGTGGCGCGAAAAGTAAATGAATTGTCAGTTTTCTCTCATAATTTAACCCTTACTGTACTGGGGGGGGGGGGGCCTGGGAGGCAACCGCTTGGAATTTGTCGTTTCATTACTTTTTCCCCTCAAGTCTTACGCACATTTTGATACCATTTTCGTCGAAATCGGATATACCTGTAAGGTGTTACATAACAATTAGTATGCGCATGTCATCAAAAATATGCTATAATTGCATATACCATTTTCATGGGTACAAGCAGAAATGTGAATACAGGTTTAGATGTATTTCTTAAAGTGGGAGATATGAATTGATATCAAATTGCTTTTATGTTTCTCTTTTAGTAACTTGATGTATTCCAGAACAAAAGAAAACAGAAGAAAAAAACAATAGATATAGTAAGAAATAAAATACAAAAGAAAAAAAATCTTTGAAAATACCATTTTCGTCGAAATCGGATATACCTGTAAGGTGTTACATAACAATTAGTATGCGCATGTCATCAAAAATATGCTATAATTGCATATACCGTATTCATGTACAAGCAAAAATGTGAATACAGGTTTATTTCTTAAAGTGGGAGATCTGAATTGATATCAATTGCTTTTATGTTTCTCTAAGTAACTTGATGTATTCCAGAACAAAAGAAAACATTAGAAAAAAAACAATAGATATAATAAGAAATAAAATACAAAAGAAAAAAAATATTTGAAAATCGCATCAAATTTGCATAAATTATCATTATTAATTACATCAAAATAACTATTTTGTGTTAGAAAAGAAGTTTTATATGAATAATGAGTTTCAATTAACATTAAAAAAGTGGAGTCTGACGATTTTTTTAATGATTCTAAGGGCGCGTTCATGCTTCACTTTTTCTGGCCAGAATCAGGCATCTGTTACGCGTTTAGTTTAAAACACGGTTGCGTCTTAGCTTACTTTTGTAGAATCACCGAAAAACGGCGATCACGATCACCCATCGTAAACTCACAAAAAGATGCGTTTAAATGGGGACAACGCACTGACCTCTAGTGGGTCTACGTAGCATGCACAGTGAAGGTTTGCGAATCCAGCTGGAAGACCAATTAAGGCCACACAAGGAGAATTGCCTGGATGAGCCAGAGAAGTAAGCATGAACAGTACACCGTGGAACTGCGATCACGATGAGCGTTTACGATGAGCGTTTCAGATCGCTCATTCTACCTTCAAAATCAAGCATGAACGCGCCCTAATTCCCTGGATATTTCCAGATTTGATATTCATGAATGCGTATTCATAATTTATGCAAATTCACCTATGCATTTTAAAAAAATCATAAAAATAATGTAACCACATGAACAATGAGATGAAGGATACATTTTCAAGATTCTTCACAAGTCTACAGACAAATATGTAGAGTTTTCTGTAAAATGCATAAAATTAGCATTTTGCATAATTAATTAGGCTATAACGACAAAAATTTGCATATTAGAAAAAAACTAATCATACCATCTTGTTCCTTACGTAAATATATAAAAACATGCAAATTTTTGTGTTCATCGGACTTTCGACAGCCGAGATCATAGCCTGGGAGGCCCCCCCCCCCCTCCCCCCCCCCCACCAGTCACGAGGTGCTCAAAATAGCCTAGTACAGTATTAGGTTAAGGAAACGTTTAAGCTTCTGCGCTTTGCGCGTGAGGGGGTTATTGAATTCAGGTAAGGATTAAGAGTCGAGAACAGTACAACAAATCATCTGCTTTTTCTCATAATTTAATGAAACGTCAAAGCTTCCGAAGCGCGGGACGGGGGAACTGAATTCAGACAAGGATTAAGAGTTGAGAACGGTACAACAAATTGTCTTCTTTCTCTAATAATTTAATGAAACCTCTAAAGCTTCCACGCTTCGTGCGGGAGGCTCTTCACCCACCCCCTAGGGGAGTGCGCTTCGCGAGCTCTTTAAGTGATTCACTTGCGTACTAGATAGTTCATATGAAAAACAACTTAGCCTTCGGGTTTATAGCCTTTATAGGGTTAAATCACAGGTGCAGTATTTGTGGATTTATCTGCGGCTTATGACACTGTCAATCACCAAAGGCTACAGACAAAACTTCATGACATCACAAATGACCTCAAACTCACCAGATTCATTCAGAAGATGATGCAGAACAGACGCTTCTTTGTCGAACTTGATGGGCAGAAGAGCAGATGGCGGAAACAGAAAAACGGTCTCCTCCAGGGTGGCGTCCTGGCGCCAACACTCTACAACATCTACACTGCTGACATCCCTTCAACAGAGAACACTCGAAACTTCATCTATGCAGATGACACCTGCATCACAGCCCAGCATAGTACCTTCGAAGCTGTTGAACTCCATCTCAACACAGCGCTCGCAAGCCTTTCGGAGTACTACAGAGCAAACTACCTACGGGCAAACCCATCCAAGACTCAGGTGTGTGTTTTCCACTTGAAGAACAGGGAGGCAAAGAGAGAACTGAAGCTAAAGTGGAACAATGTGCAACTTAACCACTGCGAGCATCCAGTGTATTTAGGTGTAAAACTCGATCGTACTTTATCATTCAAGAAACATATCGAGAAGACAATAGGCAAAGTAGAATCTCGAAATGCCATCATCGGGAAGCTAGCATCTTCACACTATGGCGCTGACCCCAAAACTGTACAAAGTGCAGCTGTTGCTCTATGCATGTCATCCGCAGAATATGCTTGCCCAGTTTGGAGCAGATCAGCCCATGTGAAGAAGCTTGACACCACACTCAATAACACATATCGAAAGATATATCACCTCGCTGGCATTGGATCTCCTAACCAAAGGCGCACTAACACCTGCCTAAAGGAACGGATGAAGCAGGTGACAGATGACAGACACATGCTACACGGATACTTACAACCCCACAAACGACTTATATCCCGACACAGCTTCCTCGATTCTGTCCCACCACCTGAACAGAATCCTCCACCATCAGCCAAGCCCGTACTAATCAAAGGTCTTAACCTGAAGTGGCCGGAGTGGCAATGCCTAAATCGAATGCGGACGAGAATTGGGCGGTGTAAGGTCAATATGGCAAGATGGGGCTATGCCCATGAAGGAGAAACTCTCTGCGACTGCGGAGAGACTCAGACGATGGACCACCTCTTGCAGTGCAGCGGAACGGGTTGCACAGATGAAGACCTGTCCCTTGTTAATGAAATGGCCATTGCAGCAATCGAGCGATGGAAGAACTTAATTTAATTTAATTTACTTCTAATTAAGGAACTTTACATAACTATCTTGATCTAAGGAGACACGAACGAACGATAGGGTTAAATTTGTAGACATTGGGACATTAAATTTTGGAGGTAATTGGTGGCCTCTACACCCCCCCCCCCCCCCACTGAAAATGGTCTAGCGACACCCCTGCCTAGAAGGATAATACAAATTACCTTGTGTACCTGGCGATTGTGGTTCATTGGGTTGAAGGTCTCCAGGAGTGTCCAGTGTCACTTTCTGGCTTTCTAAAATAGGACCTAAAAAGGAAGAGGGAAAAATAAGTTTTTTAGAGCTGTATCAGCATGTTTCAGTATGCTTTATAGATCAGGTGCTCAGGTATGAATTCATGTTCAACAGTTAGCACCAAAAACCTACATGTACATGTATCAACCTACATCATCAAAAAATATTAAACAATTGAAATAAATAAATAATAAAAAGGAATATAATACGAGAAATGCAATCGTGTCACAACGATGTGCGTGCAATGACACCTTGTTTCTACGTGTCAAACGAAAGAGCTTCTCTCGGACTATCCAGAGCAATTTGTACGAAGTCTGTAGCTTCTGTGATACTGGAGATAGGTAGGGCGAAAGAAAGGCCTCAACAGTGACCTTCATGGGATGGTAGTGACTACGCCTACGAAGTTGAAAGAAATTGGGAAAGGGGAAAGAACCTAGAAAGGGCTCGCAAGCACTGCGTGTAAAAACCAATGGGCGAAAGAAAGGCCTCAACAGTGACCTTCATGGGATGGTAGTGACTACGCCTACGAAGTTGAAAGAAATTGGGAAAGGGGAAAGAACCTAGAAAGGGCTCGCAAGCACTGCGTGTAAAAACCAATGGGATTTGGTGCATGTTTGTCATTGCAATAAAGATCGTTCTGGGGGCCAAAAGCATGAACCCGATATGCCCCAAAGTCGGGGTGCGGCCTATGCGGCGAAAGAGTAAATTTTTTTTTTTTTTTTTTTTTTTTTTTTTTTTTTTTAATTTTTTTTAGTTTCGATTTATGGCGCTATGCCTGGCAATGTCTCCCAGCTCAGTAATCAGTGTGTTGACTCACCACTCGGAAACTACAACAACACTAAAATTTGACTGTCATCTTGGTTTGAAAGTAATCTTTCTAATAGATCTCAATATGTAGTTTATAATAATAGTTCCTCAAATTTTTTTCTATAACAAATGGTGTACCACAAGGTACACCACTGGTACCATAGGTACTTTATTGTTTTTAATTCACATTAATGATCTTACACATTCTTCTAAAAACATTGTTACTATTATTTGTGACAAGTTTACAAGCACAAATCAGCGCCTTTAACTGCACCTCGATGTTAAATGAAGGTCCTTCCACGCGTGGGTTTTCGGCAGCAAAACAACAACAAAAAAACAACAAAAAAACGATTTTTTTTTTTTTTTTTTTTTTTTTTTTTTTTAAATGTCAAAATCGGGGGTGCGGCCTATGCGGGGGTGCGGCCTTTACGCCGGCAAATACGGTAGTTACCTTTGTTCAAATGCGATTTACTCACAATTTTCTGTGTGAACATATTCCATACTTGTTATCATTCGAAAGGGCACTTCATTGTGGTCAGTTTGACACCATTGTCATCTGCGCGCAATGTACTGCACGCATTCAACGCGCTATTACGTAATGCATAGCAAATTCATCATTTTTGGCGAAAACTTTGCGCTGACATAGGCCCTACTCAAATTTACCAAACTTGGCAGACAGTTGTCACAGCTATTGAGCAAACTGACTATAACTTGGTGTGTACCACTTTTTCGTCCATGCATGCCTAGGGTCTACATGTACATGTATTCTTCTCAAGTTATTCACCTTCTATCGTAGCAAGAAAGCATAGACCTGGCAGATCGAGTTAAGCTCACGCTGGTCACAGTCCATTGACTTCCACAGAAGTGAACAAGTAGAAGGATCCAATGGCAATGGTCGAGCTACTTGCACTCCGGCCGCCTGGCTCATATAGTAGGTCTCCGACAGACTGAGCGTGATTGACGTCTGTCCCTGTGGTGGAGCAGCAGTCATTTCCCCACAGAATTTCTGTTCATCCATGACAGTTTGTGAATGTTGGAGAAAAGACTTCATCATTTCCGTGTTGAAATCTTTATAATTGTATTGCATTGCTTTCGTCACCTTACACATATCAGAAATTCTGTATGCGAACAACATGCACAAATTGGAAGGAGGCCTAGATCTAACTGGGTTCTGAGACGACTCCGGAGGACACGCTTCTCGAAAGATGCTGGGCTGCCCCGCCAAAGTAGCCGGGTCGACGTCGGTACTCGTATCGAAAAGGACATTCAACGATGGGATGCAGGATTGAAGATAGTTTTCTGTGTGTGCATAATTGTCAAAAATTGCTCCTGCACTGCCACTGCCACTGGAGCAATTGTAGATGCAATGAGAACCAGAGAGAACAAGAAAACACATGACATTGCGACGAAAGCCATGATTCCAGATATAACTTCTAAGTTTCGCCAAAGAGATGCTGCTGGTATCTCTTTGGTTTCGCCGCGCCGAGGAGTGGTTTATTTACGTTATGTAGGCAATGTCTTTTTTTTAACCTTTTTGGGGTTTGCGCACGTCACTACTTAAGGAAATGTCGACGCCCCCTAATGAATATGCATTATGCTTGTGCCGACACGGCGTGTGTACTGTCTGTACACGCTGTGAATGCATATCTATCTATCTATTCTAGGCTATGACAGCACATCTGCACTACTGATTCAAGCGAGAGCATATATGTATTTCACTACACTTGTATTGTTTTGAATACATTAATTGCATCTATACCTGCTAGTGGGAGTAGTCTACAGGCCACCAAATGGTGATGTGAATGAATTTATTGAAGAATTGTCTAACACTCTTTCAAGCCCATTATTCAGAAATAAAAAATAATTATTATGGGTGATTTTAATATAAATTTATTAAGTTATGATCGCGATAACTCTGTTAATAATTTGATTCCTCTGATTAATAAGCCAACTAGAGTAGCAGAAAACTCACAAACCTTAATTGACAATATTTTCACCAATTTGCACCCTTTTCCCGCTGCTGGTATAATAGTGGCCGATATATCGGATCATTTCCCTATATTTGCTAGAACATCTTTAGCATTAAGGAATTCTTGTAATGAATCCTACACTGTAAAAAATAATTTGTTCATTGGTAATTTTTACGTATTTTTTCCATGTAGAATTTACTTGTAAACATTAGTTTTTGCCACTTACGCACTAAATTTAAGTCTTGCTAACTCAAACTTTCAATTTAGTAGAACATACGTGGAATATTTAAGTAAAATCAAATACATAAGAACTTTAAGTAATTTCAGCTTGTATTAATTTAGTAATTTTAACTCAAAATCAGAAATTATACGTATTACTCAAACAATTTATGTTGATTATTCTTATCTTTTTAAAGTAAGGACCGATGCAGTGTGTAATAGAAATATTTACATAATTTATGAATATTCATTAAGACCAAATTAAACTCTTCTTTGAATAAAACTATTCTTTTTTGTGGTTGAATGAAAATTTAAGGACTTTAAAACATTTACTAATTCATTTAACATGGTTAAGCAAAGACAAGACAATTTTTAATTGTTACCCAGTCCAAAACAAATAAAACCAATTTTCCTTTTAAGATGCTACGATCAAGTATATATAAAATTTGGAGCCTTTCAATATGTGTCGAATTGAAGCGTATGTAATAGTTTGTGATGGTGGTAGATATACGGTTAAATCTTAAATAGAAGTAGTGAATGATTAGTGGATGTTACTTGTTAGATTAGATGGGTACCAAATCGTGCAATATGTAATCCTATCATAGCTTTTTTTTAATTATCTAAAATGATTACAATACTTAAATTATTTACGTTAATGTAACTCGATTTAACTGAGTAAAAATTTATTCAGCAAAATAAGTAAATTCTACTTAAGATGCCGTAGGTAATATTTACTTAATAAAAATAAGGCAATTCTTTTCCTCAATTTTATTGAGTTATTTCGACTATTATTTTTTTACAGTGTATGATAAGTTAACACGGAAATTCACTCAGGGAAATATTACAAAATTTAAGAGAGAATTGGAAACTGTTGAGTGGAACGAAGTTTCATGTGAAACAGAAGTTGATAAGTCTTTTGATAAATTCATGGATATAATAGTGTTATTTTATGACAGATGCTTTCCCTTGGTGCAGAGAAGTAAGCAAGAATATAAAAGAGTACCTCGAATGCCATGGGTCACTAAGTCTTTACTTAGGTCCATAAATAAAAGAATCGTTTGTTTTGTATATACAAAGCAAAGCAGACTGATGTAGCCAAGTTAAGGTATACTAACTATAGAAATATATTGACTTCTGCTCTGCGCCAAGCAAAGAAAGACTATTATCATTTTCAATTCCAATCTACTTGTAACAATGTTAAAGGAACATGGAAAGTTATTCGAAATGTCTTGAAAACCAATCCTAAACTACAGAGTATTACAAAACTCACCTGGAAGGATGGTCTTATTGAAGATAAGAAACTTATGTGTGAAGCATTTAATGAATATTTTTCTAACATTGGTGCTACTCTGTCTAGCTCCATACCTGATATACAGGAACCTATGGAAATTATTTAACCAGTCCAAATGAAAAGAGTTTATTTTTTGTTCCTGTAGTGATTTCTGAGGTTATAGATGTTGTAAGTGGCTTGAAAAGGAAAAAGAGCCCTGGATATGATGGAATAACTAATGATTTGATAAAAGAAGTAATTTCATTTGTAGTCGTACCTCTCACTCACATTTATAACTTGTCTTAATGCATGGAAGTGTTCCTAAAAAAATGAAAATAGCTAAAGTTGTGCCTATATATAAAAAAAAAAGGAACCCTGTAGAAACGGGTAATTATAGACCAATTTCTCTACTTACTGTCTTCTCCAAGATTTTGGAAAAACTTGTATATATCAGATTGCTAAATTTTTGAAGTCGTGTCAAGTTTTCTCAAATTCTCAGTTTGGTTTTCGCGAGAAACACACAACTTCTCATGCTGTGTTATGTCTTCTTGACAAAATATCTTCGGCACTTGATAAACACCTCCATACGGTTGGTATATTTTTGGATTATTCCAAAGCTTTTGATACGGTGAACCATAATATTTTGTTGCACAAGCTCTCTTATTATGGGGTAAGAGGACCTGCACTCGAATGGTTTAGAAGTTATCTTAGTAACAGACAGCAATTTGTGCAGCTCGGCGAAATTTGTTCAGATATGTTACCCGTCACGTGTGGAGTACCTCAAGGTTCCCTTTTGGGTCCCCTGCTTTTTATTTTATATGTAAATGATTTTCCAAAATCCTCAGAGACGTTTTCTTTTTTGCTATTTGCAGACGACACAAGTGTATTCTGTTCTCATAGAAACTTAAACACTCTTTTAGAAACTGTAAATAGAGAGCTTTGTGTATTGACTAAATGGATTCATGCAAATAAACTGTCACTTAACTTATTAAAAACTAAATACATGTTATTCAGTAATAGTGAAACAGTAATGCCTGGTAATGTAGTCTTTTGATCAGGTAAATATTGAAAAGGTCTCATTTATTAAATTTTTAGGTCTCCACATTGATGATAAATTGACTTGGAAGATGCATACTACTCAATTAAGTAAAGTGCTCTCTAGAAATGTTGGTATGATCAACAAATTGAAGTTTGTATTCCCAAGAAATGTACTTAGCATGTTGTACTGTTCCTTAATTTTGCCATACTTAAATTATGGTGTGTTAGCCTGGGGTGCATCAGCCAAATCCTACTTAAATAAAATTCTGCTCATTCAAAAGAGAGCAGTGAGAATTATTTCGGCAGCTGATTGGCGTGCTCACACTGACAAGCTATTTTATGAAAATAAAATGCTGAAGGTAAAGATATATACTTTCTATATCTGGGATATCTTATGTATCAGTTGGAGAAGGGTGAAGCTCCCATGGCAATAGCATCTATTTTTGTAAAGAATAACCAAATACACAAATATTCTACTAGGCAGGCTGCCTTATACCATGTATCATCAGCTAGAACTCAGCTTAGGATTAATACACTTGCACATACTGGACCAAAGTATTGGAACTCTTTAGACTGTTCTATTAGGCAGTCTGTAAGCTCTTCTGTCTTCAAACGTAGGCTGAAATTTCATCTACTGTACACTTACAGTGAATAGATCTGATATTTATTAATATTCAATATAGCTAACTGGATTAGCATTGTCCCCCCCCCCCCCCCGTGTTGTACATTATCCTCTTTCCCCTATTTCTTTACTTTTACATTATCTTTATTCTGTTTTCTTTTTTAGTCTACCATATTTTGTAAATTAGTGGTAGATCTGATATTTATTTATAGTCTGTATAGGTAACTAGATTAGTATTATTAGTCCCCCTCCCCCTGTATTGTAACCTATTTCTTTAAAAAAAAATGTTGTTTTTGTAAAGGTGATCTGTGTCTTAACAAGCTGTGCTTTTTAACAGACCACCTCTTTTCCCCACATTTGTTAAAGTCTTTATAACTGTTTCATTGTTAATGTATTTATGCTAGTTGACGATGAACTTGTTACTACTGTTCCTGAATGAAATGTTTTTTTTTATGCAAGTGGAAAGAAATAAATAAATCTTGAATCTTGAATCTTGAATTAAGTTAGTGCATTTCTATATTTGTATTGTGCTGTTGTGACTTCATACTTGCGTCAATATAGGTTATTACATCTAACCTGTTCCAAGCTGCATTCTACGTGTTCCAAAATTTCTATCTTTAGGGGGTAATATTGTTTTGCCTACACACTCCCATCATTCAAATTATTGCATTGTAC